TCATATGGTAAGCTTATGTTTAACCTTTTAAGGAATTGCCAAACTGTTTTCCAAAGGCTACTAGATTTTTAACGAAGTAGCTTTTAGATATTTTTCTCTTCCCTCACTATTACTTGCTGCTGGCATTATCCCCTGTACCCTGTCTCCTGAATCTGATGCTGTGGGCAAGGCAACCTGATAAGTATATTAGAAATTCGTAACGCAAAGGCATTGAATGATAGCCTTGAGTATTAGTGTAGGATGTTGAGATGTCTGGAATGTGTGTGCATGCTGGTTTCTAGATGCTCAGCTGTGTTCTGGACTAGAGATGTTCCAAGATGTATCTGTTACTTGGGACTCTCAGATACAGGTGAGAAAACCCCAGTGTGGTAGAGGAGATAGTCTACATGATTATCAGCTCCACCAGGCTCTTTCCGAAGTGGAGAGGAGACAATCCCTTAAGATGCTAAGCAGTCAAAGCAGTAGGAGATGTCTGCTTCCTCAGATATTAAACCCAGATAAGTGAATTTTGTCATTGTTTGTCTAATTTGCAAAGCACTTGAGACACTGAGTAGTTCAGCACCCTAAATACCAACAAATGTTATCTATAAAGAATAGTTTACACCATTCATTCTATAAGATTGATGCATTCATGGTACCTTTGGCATTTACAGATTACATTTTTAATTTAGCTATCTGTGAGTTACGTATAGTTGTTTGTAATCAGGCTGAGAAATGTGTTTGAGTTGCACCCAACAGCTGCATATCAGTAATACTGTGTTCTTGTTTTCACATAGGAAGTAATTTTTCTTAACAGATCTGGAGGCATCCAAAAACTTTTCAGTTATACTTTGTCATATTTCAAATGCCCCTATGCCTCAAGTCTTCTTTTTTGCTAATTTCAGTGACCTACTCTGCTATACTCCTATCATTAGCCCTTCTATTTAGCTTACTTTTTAAAAAAACATTACTTTGCTAACTCATTTTGGTTATTTTCATTGTAAAACCTTAAATACCTATCTTATTATAAGCCAGTATCTTTATATTTTTGTGGTTTATTTTCCTTCTTAATTAGAATAGTCACTTATATTGTCTGGTACACTTTATGAAAATGTTGCCATTTATAAATCTGCCATTATAAATCCAATTCAGCTCTTAATTACCTGCCATGATAGAGGAGGACAGTGACACAAGTCATAATCTCTGAAAATACAATTCGGTTTAAGAATGAAATAACAGGATGATTTTCTTTTGAACATCAACTTTGCCATTTTAATTACGCTTTGTTTAGACTAAATTTAGTTTAGTGTAAAAATAATAGTTTGAAAACACACCAAGTGATACAAAAGGAAATGTGTTAGAGGCCAAGGAATAATCACAATGGGGTTAGTAGGAAACACAATTAATATACCAAGCTAGTTCCTTTAGGTATTAGTTTATTTTATGCTTTAAATGTTATAATTATTTGGATATATGAAAAAAAGGATTGGACAAAAATTCTTGAAAAGATGAAGAACTGTCACTTCTTATTTCAGCCTTTGAGCTCCCTTTTAAATGGACTGTACTGGGTATCTTCTAGAAAGGCCATTTTTAATGTTTTATGAAATCAAAAATTTTTCCCACAAGGATTTAAAATAGCTGTATTACATTTTGAGTCTGACCCCTGTGAAAAAATGATTATATATCTTTCCAAGATTTTTGAAAGCCGGCACTGACTCACATGCTTTCAGGGCACAATTTGTTTTTTGGGTTCCTGTTTTACATGAGTTTTCAAAATAAATAGGTACTTGTTACTGAAATAGGAAAAAATAGCATTACTGTAAAGCTGATTACAACTGGTGCTGGAAAGAATCTTGCCATCCAATTGGAAATATTTTTCCAGTTTGTTGACCTGTTTAAAATTCCGAACAGCTAATTCTTTCCAGCTTTCAAACATCAGATTCATTCTGAGGTCAGTATGGACAATTCTAGGGAATAAAGAAATGAATAGCTTTGGTTTTGTGTTCTCCTTAATACTTGTCTTATATCCAAAAGGAAGTGTTTATTGACTGTTTTAAGTGCCACTATGATTACTACTTTGTAATGAATATTTGTATTACATTAAAGATAATCTGGGAAATCATAATTGTTGCTTCTCAACCCAGTCCCTACTGGGGCTCTTTTTAACTGTGTAGTATATGATAGCACTTACCTAGAGGAGTGTTTTTAAAAAGTGTGCTCTGTGGACTCATAAGGTATGAAGGTCCTGATTTCCCTGTAATCTTTTGGCATTTGCTTATAATATTATTGATATTATCTATGTATACTATAATACCATATCCATGTATTCTTTATTTTTTTTTTATTTGTTTATTTTTATTTTTGGCTGCGTTGGGTCTTCGTTGCTGTGTGCGGGCTCTTCTCTAGTTGCAGCGGGCGGGGGCTACTCTTCGTTGTAGTGCGCGGGCTTCTCATTGCGGTGGCTTCTCGTTGCGGAGCACGGGCTCTAGGCACGCAGGCTTCAGTAGTTGTGGCACGCGGGCTCTAGAGCGCAGGCTCAGTAGTTGTGGCACACAGGCTTAGTTGCTCCGCGGCATGTGGTATCTTCCCGGACCAGGGCTCGAATCCGTGTCCCCTGCATTGGCAGGCGGATTCTCAGCTACTGCGCCACCAGGGAAGCCCCCCATGTATTCTTTAGTCATGTGAATTATAATTTATTGCTGATGTCTTAGTGTTTTATCAAAAATCATGCTATTTTCTTCATTGTTGCTTGACTTTTCTGCAATGGCAAGAAATCATCAGTTCCTTAGGTTATTCTGCTCCACTAAAGAGGCCCTCAAAAATTTTTTTGAGCTCCAAATAATTATTTAGGAAATGTTTGCTTTAAATATCTTAAGATCTGGGGGCTTCCCTGGTGGTGCAGGGGTTGAGAGTCCGTCTGCCGATGCAGGGGACACGGGTTCGTGCCCTGGTCTGGGAAGATCCCACATGCCGCGGAGCGGCTGGGCCCGTGAGCCATGGCTGCTGAGCCTGCATGTCCGGAGCCTGTGCTCCACAACGGGAGAGGCCACAACAGTGAGAGGCCCACGTACCGCAAAAAAAAAAAAAAAAAACTTAAGATCTTTGTGCAACTGTTTCTAATTATTATTAGTGTCATCCTATTTCGCTATGTCAGGAACCTTAATAGTAACTGAACAGGCCTAGGGAGGAAAAGAATTCTCCATCCAGTTATGCCATTGAGCCCTCTCTCTGGTCTGCTTTTCCTCTCTAACCTTGCTGCTGCCCCTCTGCCCCTTACCATCTGTTGTAAGCAATATTGGAACTGCCTCTTAACTTGTCTTCCTGACCAGTGTGGCCTTCTTCCAATCCAGCCTTCTTCTTTCTTAGAACTCAATTGCTGACAGTTGCCGTACATATTCAAGATCAAGTCCATACTCTTTAAGGATTGTATGTGAGGCCCTTTATTATGATCTAGCCCTTTTTTATTTCTTTTGATACTCAAACATAAGGAACTACTTGCAGTTTCCTGAATATAATTCAGTTCACTCCCCCTTAACATGTACTATTCCCTTTCCCAAAGAGCCTTCCTGGCTCTTGTATGCTTTGCTAATTGCTATTTCTCTTTGATTCAGCTTTAGTATTACTTAAGTATTAATTCTTCTGTGAAGCCATTTTGCTATCCTCTTTCTCCTTGTAGCCATTTTCACTTGTGTTCCTTGTCAAATAAACTTCTGCTTTATATTTAGCTTAGAAAACTATAAAAGTTTTTGTGTTTGATTTAAGCTTCTAAATATTTGTAGAAATAATGGCCATCTGTGGTTTTCTGTAACTTATAGACCCCTTATGAGGGTCAAGGGTGAGAGACAGAATATACAAGTGGACAATGGCCTGACAATGCAGGAAGCTAAGTGCAGTAATTTCTGTAATAATCAGCCCCAGATGGCCAGGACTTGATCAGTAGCTGCCAGCTTCCTTAATTTTTGTCCTTGCTTCCAACTTAAAACCAACTAGAGCAAATCAAATCTGCACCCAGTAAATCACATAGGATGCCCTAGTCCTAGTTAGCCTGCCTACAGCTTCCCCCTGCCAGTCAGGGTACACCAGAAGCCTTCCCTTTTTTCCACTGTAAAGCTTTCTCATTGCTCAGCCTGCCTTTGAGTCTGCCTAAACGCAAGTGATGGTGGCCATCTCCCTTGCCGTAGCAAGCTCTGAATAAATAGCCTTTGCTTTTCTCATAAGTATATAGTTTATAAAATTTATTTCATGTGTTAGCTATGTTTCGTGATTTTCTACATGTTTTATAAACATAGAGGTTTATATTTTATAAAGGTGAAGACAGATTTTTGTCATAAGGATTATTTTGTTTCTTTACATTGAATGACAAGATGACACAGAATAAAAATGTATCACTTACTAGTAAAGGAAAAAATCCTAGTCAAATTTTAATCTTACTTGAGACCTTTGTCTCCTATATAGTTACTCAAAGCTTTTTATTTGGTTTATTAAATCATAATTTTTTAAAAAAAATCAGTACATGGAAGAGATTTAAACATGAAATACAAAATAAATGCATTTAGGTTTTATTATAAGAGTATTCTTTTATTCTTATTTTTAAAATATTAAGCATGAATGCTGAATTTTATCAAGTAATTTTTGCATCATTTACTGGTTTTTATTTAACCTATTAGTGCAGTATATTGTATAAATATATTTCATATTATTGAGCCATGTGTATGTTCCTAGAATAAACTCTGCTTGTTTTGAATTATTTTCTTTAAATACTCTTAATCTGTTCACTAATTTTATAAAGCTCCTTTCATTTTTGTAAAGTTTCTGAAAATGACCAGAACCTATACCCTGATTTTTTACTTTTTGTGGTTTCTTTTTTACATACCCTTCCTCTTATTTCTACAATTGAATGACTAATAAGGCTACTTTGAACAGTTTTGAAACTATGAAAAAGATAGCTTTTTATCTGTCTAGTGCTTTATTTTACTGAAGTTACTCTCAGTGTATTTATTGTTTGAATTTTCTGTTAACAGATATTCCCTTCAGAGAGGTAGCTCCTTCACATTTTTAACACCTGGCCCCCATTGGGACTTCACTTTGGTGAGTAGACACCTAGGTTTTTTATTTCAAGACATTAGTTAATTCCTGGGTTGTGTTTCAGTCTGGTGTACAGCTCAGTTGTCTATACCTCTGAAAACCTTGAAGTACAGAGTTTCTATCACCATCTTTGGCAGCCTAATTTAATTCTTTTCTGCTAACAAACTGAAAGAAATTTTTATTTCAATTAAATATAAAATATATTTTGAAAAGTATCAGATCTATTCATCTTTAACTCTATGCAATTCTTTCTCTCATCCCTACCCGTGTTAAACTTAAGAGACTATATTAATGAAACGTGAGGCTATTTTTATGCACACACTCTAACAGCTTTTTTCTTGGTTGAAAAATATAAAAATGCTTGTAGATAATATATATAATGAATGAATCTTTTATTAGTCATCTTAGTATAGAGGGACTCCATTATTTTTAGAATGAGACTTTACAGAGGCATCTAATCTTGTGCAAAGTGACACCAGAAAATTGGGGGATTTTATAATTAAATATTCATTACTTCACAATACTCATATAAATAAAATATGTACAAATAGAACATGATTCTTATCTCTTCTTATTTGGGGGAAATAGCAAAAACGATTCTGCCTCTAGTTTGCCAAACTTTACGTATGTGCATGTATTGAGGATGTGCCATTTCATTTGTATTCTGTTCTGCTGTATTTAATTTGTTTTTCTGTTGGGGACTCCTGTTCGAGATTTCTGTGAATAATAGCATTTACATACATTAAGTGGTCAGTAAAGCATTCATGGTAAGAGTCTCCTGATTTTAATGCAGTTCCACATTTTCCTTTCAAACTTTTTTCATCTTGGTCCCTTTCCCTTACTAGTTGAAGAACCTAAACTTAAACAGAAAAACTAGTAGAGAAGTGTCTCCAAATTTGATTTTGCAAGACTATCAGCAAAAATATTTTGAGCATTACCCCTGATATATTTATTTATAATTTTTAGGTATGTAGCAACTTTATTAGCTAATATTTCAAAGCTCAGTACTCACTTAGGGTGAGATTAATGATAGTGGACATAAATGTATATTTCAAATAGTCGGGATAATTTCAGTTTGGGGCTGACTTCTAAAATGGATTTGATAAGATTGCCATATCTTTAACTCACATTTTTAAATGTGGTTGATGATGAGCTCATCATCTGTGTATTAAATTTTAGTAAAGCTTATTTTTTAAGGATTAAGAAATACATAAAAATGAAGTTCTAACATTTTCCTCCTGTATTCCAGGAAAGTTACCTTGCATATCGTCTGGGACAGATGCATCTCACTTGGGAAAACACTTGTGTAGAGGTCTCTGTGACAAAAGAAATATCTAACGGTTCATGTATTAAAACTTTTGGAATGTGATTGATTAAGGAATACTAAGAGGGAGATTTATAACTTTTTAAATACATAGTTTAAGAAGGGAAAAGAACAAAAATTAAGCACTCAAGAGGTGAGAAAAAGAACAATAGAGTAAATCAAAGAAAAGAGGAGAAGTAAGAGTGGAAAAAATAAAATCAACACCCAATCATGATAAAATTCTTGGCAAACCAGGGATAGAATAGAACTTCCTTAGCCTGAGACCTACCACAAACAACATACATAATGATAAAATGATAGTGACAGTCCCTTTAAATTTAGAAAAAAGCATGCTGTCATCATATTTATTCAGCATTGTACTAGCGCTCTTAGCCAACACAGTAGGACAGGAAAACAACTGGTACACAAATTAGAAAGGAAGAGACAGTCTGATTTCATTACTTAGAGACAATATGATTGTCTACATAGAATATCCAAGAGAATATTAATAGCAACTATTAGGACTAATAAGAGTTTGAGCAAGGCCATAAAAGTTATAAAAAGAAATCAATAGCACGTATGTATGTTAGTAACAAACAAATGTAATTTTTTAAAATTTATTTATTTATTTTTGGCTGTGTTGGGTCTTCGTTTCTGTGTGAGGGCTTTCTCTAGTTGCGGCAAGCGGGGGCCACTCTTCATAGCGGTGCGTGGGCCTCTCACTATCGCAGCCTCTCTTGTTGCGGAGCACAGGCTCCAGACGCGCAGGCTCAATAGTTGTGGCTCACGGGCCTAGTTGCTCCGCGGCATGTGGGATCTTCCCATACCAGGGCTCAAACCCATGTCCCCTGCATTGGCAGGCAGATTCTCAACCACTGCACCACCAGGGAAGCCCAACAAATGTAATTTTTAAAGATGCTTTTATTGAAATAAAAAAATTTTAAACTAGGAATAAATCTATGAAAAGATGGGTGAGACTTTTATGGGAAAAACTGGAAAGCATTAGTAAAGAACATAGGACACCTAATGAAATGGACAGATATACCATTTCATGCAAGGAAAGGCTCAATAGCATAAAAATGTCCATTCTTCCCAAATTAATTCATAAAGGCAATGCTGTTCTGATAGAAATCTCATTAGAATGTAATAGATCCCAATTCATGCAGAGAAATAGAAGGCCCAGGACCGGGAAAGTAGTGTACCCATCAGGGAGCATTATGACTGAGCGTATAAGCTATTAAGACTCACTCCAAAGGTACAGAAATTACACAGCATTATATGGGTGCAAGTGTAGATAAATAGACCGTTGGAGTGAAATAGAGAACCCAGAAACCGACTTATGAGAACTTATTGTATCATAGGCGTTATGAAAGAATGGTGCTCTCAGCAAATGATGTTAGGGCTGGGGACAGTTGGCCAAATTACCTTATACCACATACATACAAAACTAAATTCTAGATGGGTTGAATATACAAATATGAAAAATGAAACTTTAAAATAGTTAAAAGAAAATACAGTAGAATGTTTTACAATCTGTTAAATTTCTTTATACATATGCCCACACATGTGTAGATTTTATATAAATACATAAGTATGATCCTGTACATGCTTTTTTTCCCTTAGTACAATCTTCTTTTTGCTTGGCAGTTTCCTCCCCCTTTCCTCTCTTCTCCCCATGTAAGTCCTTCCATTCCCCCAGTTCCACGCTAACCCATGTCACCAACATTGTATGTATCCCTCTATATTTTGCTCATATAATTATTCACAAATACACAGCCTCACAGATAAGATACACATAAGCAGGATTTTTGTTTAGTTTGCTTTTCAAAATTAGGATCATATTATTCATACTTTGCTGCATCTTCTGGATATAACCTTAGAATCAATAGAGATTTCTTGAGTTCTGTCACCTCATTTTTTAGTTTTTCCCAGTTCTGATTTATATTGTTCTTTCATGTCTTGTATCATTTTCTTAATGTCTTTTTAGCTAAGTTCGAAATAGTATTTTATAGGTTTGCTCTGCATCTGTGAGCATTTCCTTTTGAGGTGACTTCATTCCCTGTAGGGATGTTATTCTGCCCCTTATTCTCTCTCTTTTTTCTTACAGTTATTTTGTGTAGAATTTGACTTGGGGAATTTTCTGTTCATTTTAATATGAATTTAGTTTTCCTGAACTTTTACAAAGAGGCTTGGTGCAGATAGCTTTTCTAACTTCATAGAGTTCCCTCTTTTGTTGTTTTCATGGGGCTTGCTTCTGAGACTTCCAGGCTCCATATATTTCCCCCACTTCTATCTGGACTTTATCTTTCCTTTTCTCAGTTGCCCCCATCCTGCTCTATGTTGATTCTGCTCTCAACAGTTTCTCCTCAGGGTGGGGCCAGGTCCTGGAAGGGAGCCCTGGCTTGTCAGTTTTGAGAGTTCACAAGAGCTAGGCTGTATCACAAGTAACCTGAAAAGTTATTTTGAGGTTTAAGGGAAGAAACGTTACTTAAGGATTCTTTTTCAGTATTGATTAAGGACCAGAACTTAAAGCTATATACACAGTTTTGTCACTACTGGCACCAGTAGGGCTGAATGAAGGTGATGAATGATAACTGGAAGGTACTCCCGGTACATGCATGTTCATTTTCCACCTGATAAATCCTGCTTCAGGCAACAAATCTTAATTACTTGGGCCATGAGAAAAGGATATTTTTTTCCTAGTGAAATCAACCCCCCCATAGGATAAATAATATGTGTTCCTTTTTTAAGAAATTTGTTATCTTTATATATAAAACATATTTTACTTTTTCTCTAACAAGTATAGACTTGACTTACATAAGAGTTCTGTTCTGAAAAACTTTAGATAAGTAAGTTTTTTAATAGGGTGGAATCACTTCACAGCAAGGGATGATTTAGTCAGAGGGGACTTTTTAGAAAGTATATAGTATGTGCTGGCGATAATTTATGGGCATCCCTCACAAAAATAATTTTCTTATGAATACAGCCTAAGACTTCATTTTTTAAAACTGATTTTTCTAGTTGTATGTGGTCTTTGTTTAATGGACTAACATGCATGCCTTCTATATAAGAATAAAATTTTTTCTTTTTTATAGAAAAGAAAACGAAGAGCAAAAGATGATGATGTCATAAGCCTTAGCAGCCTTGATCTGAAGGTAAGCCTTACTGCTCTGGCAAGGAAAAGCATTTAAGAGTATGCAGATAGCATTTTATTTCTGTGCTGTAAAAATAATGAATGCTGGGGTTTTTGCATTTTGCATTTTTTAAGTGCAAAACTGAATAATATTGGCTGTCACAGATCTCCTCCTTTTTCTGTTCTACTTCTTGGTTAAGAACAAGTAGAAAACCTCCCTCAGAATAATAGTGAACACAAAACTCACATGCCTAAGGAGACCAGGCCTGTAGTCTATGCAGAGAAAGGAGTAGGTGGGGGACTGTGGTGAACTAGAAGGGCACCATGCCTCTCCTCAAGAGAGGTAGCTGCTCCTTTGCTCTAGCCCCCAAACCTAAAAAGCTATGCAAGCCAAACAACTTGTCTACAAGCCAGATGTAGCCCAGGGGTTTCCAATGTGTCTATGATAAACTAAAACCCAGTGCAAACTTAAAAATAATTATTTTTAATAATTGTAATAATTATTTTTAATTATTTAATTATGTAAATAATTATATTTAATAATGTATTGTAAATCAGTTATACTCAAATAAAAATTTTTAAAAAGAATAAGAAAAATGTAATAATATTTTTAAAAACTGCCCCCCCCAAATAATCCTCTTCTGTAAAATTGTAGTTAAGTCCAAAACTCTGGCATCTTTGAAATTACTTATTTCATTTTTGTCAGTTGGCAAGTTTTACAGAACCATCTTGGTTTTAAGGAACCTTTTTAAAAAGATTGTTATGGAAAAGTTATACATTTTTAAAGTAAGATTTTAAAAAAATGTTTGACATCACGTTTAATGATGGCAGCTGCTGCTTTTTATTTTCTTTTTTAAAGGTTGGAAAAAAATTTTTTTTTAAGATTTAATTTTTTATTTATTTTTGGCTCTGTTGGGTTTTCGTTGCTGCACACAGGCTTTCTCTAGTTGTGGTGAGCAGGGGGCTACTCTTCATTGTGGTGCACAGGCTTCTCCTTGCGGTGGCTTCTCTTGTTGCGGAGCACAGGTTCTAGGTGCACAGGCTTCAGTAGTCATGGCACGCGGGCTCAGTAGTTGTGGCGCACAGGCTTAGTTGCTCCATGGCATGTGGGATCTTCCCATACCGCGGATCGAACCTGGGTCCCCTGCATTGGCAGGCAGATTCTTATCCACTGCACCACCAGGGAAGTCCCTGCTTCTTTTTAAAGACAAGGTATTTTCTAAAAATTAAATTTTTATAGGTCTGCCCATCAACATTTTAGCAAATCTGGCAATCCAGATTTTGTGGGTATGTGTACATGTCTTTATAGAAGAATTATGTGTTTTAAGTGTTAGGCTGTTTGCAAAACAGTTTTAGTTACATTTTTTAAATCTTGTTTTCAAAGAAAGAAAAAGGTGTGAATGGCAACCCTGAGTATTTTTAGGTATGCTTCAAATGAAATCATATGCAGAAATAAGAGTTTGCCACAATAAAATCCATGGTCAGATCTACTTAAAGACAATCCTCCTTTTTTTCACCCCAGCTTCAGCAATAATTAATATACCATCAGATCAGTCTCATATCATCTATCCACTCACCTACCTTCCCCTGGATTATTTTGAAGCAAATCCTAGACATTGTATTATTTCATCTGTATCATCAGATTCAGTGTTCTCACTTTCCTTGATTGTCTTAAACATGTTTTGTTTTGTTTTTGTTCATTTTATCTGTTTGAATTGTAATTCATGTAAGGTCCATACAGGGGGATTGATTATATCTCTTTAGTATCTTTTGATATATAGGTTTCCTCTCTAGCTCTTTGTTTTCTTGCAAATTTTTGTTGTTGTTGAGGGAACCATGTCTTTTTTCCTGGGGAGCTTTCCACAGCCTGAAAAGTTGTGACTGCATCCCCATGGTATCATTTCCTGTGTTCCTCTTTTCTCTGTATTTCTGATAAATTGGTAGTTAGATCTAGAGAATGTTTGGGGCTATTATGTACTTCCCTCAGAAGGTATGTAATGTCTTTTTGTGATGTTCCCAACATTAATTATCATTGCCTAGATCCATTTATTCATTGGAGGTTGCAAAGGGGTTATATTGTGCCTTTATCAGTCCTTTGTTTATTAACTGGAATACTTCTGTAAAGAGAAAATTCCCCTCATCAGCCTTGGTTACTCAAAGGTACTGATTTATAATAAAGGTAGGACAAGTGTTTGATTCCTTTCCTTTATCAGTTTTCAAAAATAATGAGTTTTATTCATTAAAATGCTCTAAAAGTAACTAATGATTTTTCTTTTTAATATTATTATGAACTTATGGATATGAACACATTTTTTGTGTTTTGATCCATTTTAGTTATTACTCTTACTATGCTCAAATTTTCCCATCTTCGGTCTCTGGGTGCTGCCTCAGGAGGGCTCCTATGTCCTTTTCCCCCAGCTTTATTAAGATATAATTGATATATAACATTGTATAAATTTAAGGTGTACAACGTTTTGATTCCCTATGTCCTTTTGACATGACCCTCACCTTATATCTAGAGGCTAAATGGCCTCCTTTTCTTCCTGGATGACAGGTTATTCCAAGCCAACTTGTACATTTCTTTTTTTCCTGCTCCATACCTGGAATCGGTCATTTCTAAAAGCCCTGATTTTAGAGGCTAAAATCTGGGCATTTTGAACACTTGTTGCTACCAGTTGATCATTGTTTTTAGGCCTTTTTAATGGACAGAGCTAAAAATATATATATACTTTTTAAGATAAAATAAATTATGAGTTTATACTGATATTTTAAATTCAGTGCTAAAGGATCTTTTACTTAATCTCATTAATCTTACTGTCTAGATCTCTTTCACCTGCACCGAAAATCTGGTTTCTGTGGGACACTGACATAATTACTCACTTGATTTACCCTTGGTTCAAAGACAAATCTACATTATTACAAATTACTACCACATTACTACAAATGATAAAATTACTGAAAAAATTTTGTTTCACATTTTTTGTTTTTTATATATAGGTTATAGTGAGGATATATAAATTTTATGTTTTAAAATTATTGAACTAGTTCTCTTCTATGTGTAGTTATGCCAACTCACTTTATTTGCAATTTTTAAGAATACTGCTTTTTAAATTTAATTTTTCTTATAACCATGTAACAAAATTGTGTAGAATTTCAAAGTCAGTTCTACAAGATTCTTGTTTCTATCCCTGGCTCTTCTACCCTACTTCTTTCTTCTATACAAAATGTTTTTTTTTTCCTTTTATTAATTTCATGGTTTATCCTTCCACTTTTTAAAATTATAAGTAATTGCATATGTTGTATATCTCACTTTCTTGGATAAACAATAGCATGTTATCTTTCCTTATGTGTTCTGTTTTATTCTCTCCTTTTTGTTTTACTTGTATGTTTTAGCTTTGTTATATCTTTCAGTGTTTAGGAAGATTCATGTATTTGTTCTATTGGTTATCTTTCTATGATGCCTTCACTTCTCTCTTTTTGTCTATTGTAGATTTGTTCATTCCTGTGAGCATTGTTTTAATTAACTAGCACCTCTTCTCCCTCCTCTCCTCTCCTCTCCTCTGACTGAAGTAATCTCTCTTTATTCTAAGTTAATATATTTAAAGTAATAAGTGCTTATTTTACTTTTCATGTACACTCATCATTCTCCATTTTTAAAAAAATAGTTTTGCTGTTATCTCCAGGGTCAGCACATTCAGCCATTATAAACTATGCTGTGTACCCTGATAACCACCATTTAGACTTAGTTCTACAGGTAAGTATATATTTAATGATCAGCACCAGTCCTTATATCTATACCTTTTTAGGTTTTTGGTTTTCTGAAGCTCATTCTTTAGCACAAGGGTCAGCAAACTGTGGCCCACAAGCCATATCTGACCTGCCCATTTATTTACATATTGTTTATGGCTGCTTTTAAAAACACTACAGTGGCAGAAGTTGAATAGTTGTGACAGAGACCATGTGACCTGCAAAGGCTAAAATATTTACTGTTTTTTTTTTACAGAAAAAGTTTGCTGACCCCTGCTCTAGAGTTGAGTAAATTCAGAGGAAGTGTTCATGGGAGCAGTATTCCCTGAGTTATTGAATGTTCATATCAGTTTGTTTGCAGCCTTTATACTTGAAGGTTAGTTTGGATGAATATGAAATCTAAGGCTCATATTTTCTTTCCTTGAATATATTAAATATTTTACTCCATTGTTTTCTGGTATAAAGTGCCACTGTTGAAAAGTTATAATAATATAGTTTCAAGTCATCTTTTGTTTTAGGAGCATTTTTTCTTGAATTATAGTTTTTGGTATTTTTTCTATTGTTTTTGCCTCTCCTCCCTGCCCTTTATACTTAGGTTGGGTCTTCTTTTTGTATCTTTTTATCACTTTCTTTCAAAACATTTTTTTGTCTTTTTTATTTTTAAATTCATCTTCCTTTTTTACCTTCTTTTTCTCTCAATGCATTAGTCATTGTTTTTTTTTCATTCTGAAATAATTTTATTTTTAATTCTTTCCTTCTATCACTTCATTTCAAATCCTCCTTTCTCCACTTACCTAATTTCTGAACTTTATGTTCTTTCATAGCTTCTATAATTTTCATTTATTTTAGGCTATAAAGACATTATTCTACTCCACATTTTGTTTTCTTATAGTAGTTTTAAATGGGTTTCATGATTCTTTTATGAAGTACATTAAGTTTTCCTTTCCTGTATTTTTAGGTGAGAGGAGTGGGCCATGGTAGCCTGTTTTCAGCTTCATGACTCTAGAGCCCCTCTTGTGTTGTTTTCACAAGTGATTTTTAAAAGTATGGCCTCTTTGTCTTGTTTATGGTTTCCTTTGCTGTGCAAAAGCTTTTAAGTTTAATTAAGTCCCATTTGTTTGTTTTTATTTCTGTTACTCTAGGAGGTGGGTCAAAAAAGATCTTGCTGTGGTTTATGTCAAAGACCATTTTTCCTCTAAGAGTTTTACAGTTTCTGGTCTTACAGTTAAGTCTTTAATCCATTTGGAGTTTATTTTTGAGTATGGTGTTAGGTAG